AGTGGCATTTTTGTAAATGGACATCCCTAAGTGGCATTTTTACAAATATGCACACAAAAAATGGCATTTTTGTAATTGCCGTAAGAATTTAATATCATCTTCTGAATATCAAAATTAAATTTTTTTTTTTTTGTTTTGTTCAGACCCAAAAAAAAAATCTAGCTAGCTGAGAAAACAAATGGGCCGGGCTCAGGGTAAGCCCAATAAGTAATATCGTAGAAGGCTAATTCGATGAGTTTCCTTTTAGCACCTGACAAGTGAGAAAATCCATCTTCATCATTTGTTTCTCGTCGTCGTCTTTCCTCTGTACTCCGACTTGGTAAAATCCCCATTTCTTCATCTCTTGATCTCTCTGATTATTTCTTTTGATTTGTTACAATTTCTGGTTTGTGTCGATTCTTCTTAGAATTTAAATGATTCGGATCGTTTTCGCTTCTTGTTGCGGGGATCTAAAGGATCTAGATTTACTTGCGGGAATTTTGGTGGGTTTTGTAGGAATGATGATATTCATGAAAAATTTGTCATTTTCTTCAGAGGGAAGATATAAAGTTTCTTTTGTGCTGGCTCCGTGTTCTTAATATCAGACTGATTGTGTAGGGATGTAAAGTCTTTGATCTTCCGGGTTAACAAATCACACTGATTGTGTCAACAAGGAAGATCTATAGACAATTGAATTAAAGTATTCATTTTTTTGCATATATACAGAGTTTATTTGTAATCTATATGTCCATTGAGAAGAAAATTTATTTGATAAAGAAGAGAGTTAAGTTAATCTTTGTCTTATATGAATTGGTTGTGCATTACATTTCTAGCTTTTTTTATAAGTGAAGATTGTAACGACTGATTCATGTTTGATCTTTAGGGTTATACTCTGTTTGTATATAATATAGTTCACAGTATAGCATCAGTACATTGAGGAGAAAACTGATTTGTGGTTATGTTTGATCCAGAAAATATCCAGTTTTTCTCGTTGTGAGTTGTTTCTGAATCACATACATTTCTAGCTTTGGTTTAGTGAAGATTATAGGGACTACTGCTGTGTCATGTTTGATCTTTGGGGTTTTTGATGTATCATTATGGTAGGTTGAG